GAGTGTGAAAAATGACAGTAGGAGTGACAAAGGAAGGTGAGAGATTAGTTGAGCATTAGTGTGAATGTGTGTGCAGCTGCTGGATGTCCATTTTGTTGAGAAGTCTTATCGCTTGTTGGTAGAAGCTTCTCGTCTGGACCTTGAGGCTGCAGAGACATCTCCCTGACCTGCGCTGAGCAGTTATGTGTGGGGTGGCAATAATCCAACAACGTACTTTTATTTCCAGAATTTTCTCAAAAACCTATCCTGTGGACTGAGTGGGTTTTGGAAAGTTGGTCTTCAGTTAGTAAGAAGACAGTCCAGTCAATGCATCTGCATCGCAACTTTCCCCACCACGGTTTCGATATCAAGGGGTCACCATAAGAAATTAGATGGGAAGTTTTTGGGAGTTTCGCCAAAGCTGCAGATGACACTCAAAAAGTTCAGCAACTCATAAATGCGTAAAATATATGTACCATGCTGGTTTGGAGGACGCCAAGCGAGTTTACGGCAGCCTCTCATGTGATGTCTCACAGTGATTTCGCAGTGATCTCATGGTGATCTCACAGTGATCTCACAGTGATCTTCGTATCTTTTTGTGCAGCTCACATGCTCGCTTAACTTGCCTAGGGAACCAAATGTACCAAAACATTTAACACAGTTTTTCCAGCTTGTAGGGGCCCTGCACCCCTAACCCCTGCAAGGTGGAAGGGTCGACTATTTCTCTTTTGGGATCAATAGAATACATGTATATATGGTTTAAAGTGAATTATAACATGATACATTTCAAGTGTACAAACACATATTAGATCCACTTTAATATATTTACTAAGCATGTAATATTTTGGCTAAATACCATATCTGGTCCAGAATCCAGTTCAGTAGCTGCCTACTGCAGGTGTGGCCATTCCCCATGGCTACACCCATTGCTAGCTAATTCTAATGTTTAATCACCCACACCAGCAATAAAAGGGGATCAGTGTTGAGATTTGGATTCTCTCTCATTCTTGGTGTTCTGGCCCCTTGGTTTGGTTTTTGCAAAATCAGTCTCACTTTGTTTGATCCATCTTTGATATGGATTTGTTAGATCGGTCCAGAATTTTGGTTCATTCTCTGGTCTTGGCTCCTGTTTGCTGATCATCTGACTTTGCTTAATTCCACGACCTCATCCTTTGTTGTACCTGCTGTGACGCTGCTACATCAGCCATGCATACAAAGAGTCACGTCACCCAAAGCGGAAAGAAAAGGCCACTCTAGGCTTTTCTCCTCGGGGGTGCAAGGTGAGAGAGCCGAATAAATGATTATTACAGAATGCTATGACTAATAAGCCACATTTTCACATATAACATTATAATATAATTCTGTTGAACTTAACATGTTCAAATATCATCTTCTTCTGACCAGTATGGGATGCACCCCCAGTAAAATTTCTTATGGTGAAAAAGATTGACAGGAAGAAAACCCAGGCATGTGCTGTATTGTGCTCAGAACCTTGTTCATAAAGTTCAACTTTGTTGAATTTTGTCCTGCTCAGTGTTTGAATTGTGTCTGCGACCTGGGGGGGGGTCGCCTGTATGGGACAATCTGACATGAGGTTTTGACACTGGGCCTGCTATCTTGTCACTACCAGCTAAATGTAGCAACGATTAGCATCGATATGTAATCTTTTATATATATATACTCGCATGTGTGTCCATCTGCTTTTTAATTTCACTAGATAGATAAGTGTTAATACCAGGTCTTCAGTCTGCCCTGCAGATCAATGGCTCAGAACCTCTTCACCATGCAACTAATCACCATCCGCCCTTGCAGAACAGCAGACACCTACCATCTGCATCGTCCTCATTTCTACCTGCAGCTACTTTCTCTGGAACTCGCTCAATTCCTACCGTCACCCCCGACTGGCAGAACAAGCATTCCGCAGTTATCAGATCTGCTGAGTCACTTCCTCTTTATCAAAGCGAATGCTCACTTTTTCACATTCGCTTCAAACATTAGCACTGCACTGTTTTTGCAGTGTAACACTGGCATCACCTGCCCGCCATTACCCGCCGGGGGGGGCGGAGGGCCGGAACGAGGTGTTGCCACTGTGAGTCGCCACCGTCTCACGCCAGCAATCATACTGGTTAACCCAGCTGGCTTTGATCCAAATGATTACCTAACTGGGAGATAAATGCGGTAATCTCCGGAAGGAATGACTGAGGGTAACATGATATGTGTGTTGTATTTTTTTGTATTAGGTTGTTCTAGGAGTTCCTTGTACATGAGAATTTAACCTCCTTTTTCAGTATTTTTTGATAATGCCTTTATTTTGTATAAGTCTTGCAGTCCTGTATTGAAATGAATATACTATACTGAGTGTAATCAATACTGTTATATACTCATGAGCCAGTCCTTTACATTTTCATTATTCTAACCTTGTATGTCTCTCCAGCTTGGTGTTTGCTAAATGAAAATGTAAAATGTAGAATATAATTTCATACTGACTGTGGGTTATGCTGTTGGGAAATCATGTTAATTAAACAGATTTTCATAGGGAATTCATCACTGAGTATTGATCAGTTGTCCATTGCATTAGACAGGAAACCACAGTCATCATAAACAATTCAGAGTTGGTGGAGCAGCACATGTGAAATTACTGAATAAAGAAATCCAGTCCCTGGCCCTATTGAATAATTGTCGACCCTTTCATTATTGCTTTCAGTTTGGTGGGGAGTCACTATTGGGGATGATGTGTGGGTATCATATCACAGGTAATGGCAGGTAAGTATTTATGTCTTATTTCCTTTCTATTTATTTTCTTAACATTCATTTTCAGGATGTTCTGTGTTCTTAAATTTGCTTGCCAATTGTTCTTGTTATCTGCACTATTCGTGCTGTTTGTCTGCACTTTATGTACCTTGCTGCTGTGTGCACAGGAATTCCCCCCTTGGATCGACAGCTTATCTTATCTTCATCTTATCTTCATCTTATCTTCATCTTATCTTCCCGTAGATGCCAATGGCTTTGTGAACCTTTCAGAAACCGTCAGACCTGCTTTGACTTCAGGAAATCGATTGCTGTTTGACTGATGGAAAAGCAGCAGTGAAGCAGGTTTGCATCAACCCTACAAAGGACTTACTGTTCATTTGGCAGGTTTGTTTATGCAAGCAGTGCTCTCCAGAGTCAAGTTTGAATGTAATGTTTATCATTCAATTGTTTATTTATATTTTTACAGAGAGACCTTCAGTTTTATTGCTTGGAATTGCTACATAATTGAAGAGAGTGAGATACGAAAATGAACAGGTTATAAATATTTCAGAGTTGTGTTGATCGGGTTACAGCTGATATCCCTGTTGCAGTGCTGTACTGAAACACAATTCGATACTGAGGTAATCAGTCATAGTTTATGGGAACACTTAATGTTTCTTGGTCATTTATAAGCTGTATTCGTCTTTTTATGTCTAGCAAAGAAATAAAAAAGAGCAATAATTAAATAACCTTGCATCACAGGCCAGGATAGGTGACTAAAATATGGATATAACATAAATGAATTAATAAATACAAATGCAAATGATGCCTTGCAATGGGTTGGTGCCCTGTTCTGAGTTTTCCCTGTCTTGTGCCTGTAGTTTCTGGATAGGTTCTTGACTCCTGTGAGCCTACATGGGACAAACAAGTATAGAAAATGGATGGAAACATGGATGGATGGCAATACAAATATCTGTTGCATTCTAAGGTTATACTGAAAAGTTTGCAAACATAATGGTGTCTGATTCGTACGTGCAATTTTTTATTTGAAAACACCTGGTGGTAAAATTAACTCGAGTCACATAGCAGCAACATGAGTTTCTGTGTCAGGTGCCTTTGGAATACAAAACCCAGAATCTATTATGTACCAGACAGGTAAATAAATCATGAACAAATCAGGATCAAATGTTTGAATAAAACCTTCTAGAAAATCAAGTTTAAATGCAATTTTATAAAATGCAAATCAAAGCTAAAGTGACTCGTTCACTTGTACACATATGCAAATAGTCAATCCCATAACACATGAAGTATGATGGTTAATAAAACAATAAATCAACGATATTTAATTAGTGTTTATGGTGAAGGGGGCACACAACAGCCATACTTCCATCATTTTTTACCGCTAGAGGTCAGCATTTTGTACACGTTGTAAAACTGTTCAGTTAGCACATAAAAACAGAACACCAAATGATAAAATATTTAACAAGAAATGCAATGAAAGAAAGCCATTCAGACAAAATATGCATGTTTTCCTTTCACAATCAATATATACTCGTACATTTAATAGTTTTTCTTGTTCAGTATTATCACTGACAGCTTTGTATATAACACAATGCAAACCTGTCATGGGAGGACCGAAAATGCATGGGGGTATATAAACAAAATGAGAATAAGTAAGTGATGAAGTTTTAAGTTTGTGATAGACTTGCATGTTCCAGGGTGTGAGCAGTATTAACATCATTTTCATCATGCCGTGATTTAGTCAATGGTCCAAGGTGATCGTCTGAAGCGAAGAGCCAATATTATACGATAAGCCCAACACTGGAATTCTTTAGATGTAAGATTGTGTGATTTTTTTGTACCCAGTCTGGTTCCCAAAAGGTGAAAGAAGTTGGAGAGGATATAGGTGATCAGAGAAGAATGTTTACCATCCAGGACATCATGATGTCACTACAAATGCATCTTACTCTTATTTATAATTCATTGTTAAACTTGGCGTTCTGTGAAAAGGTCAATAGGCCTACCATGTTTTCGTAACACAAAACTATTCTCACCTTAATAACAAACATGAACACAAAAGAACATGATAGATGCTAAATTTCTATGCGTTCCCCACAGTTATATCCCATAGTTTTAAGCACACTCTGAAACACATATGTTGTAAGATAAATATAAATGTAAGAATACAGTTAATTTCATCGTGAGAGTTCTTTTATTAAGCCACACGTTTTAATAAAGCACATGTCCGCTGTGCTGCAGAAGCGATGAGCTCATCGAGTCACGTGACCGTGTCCGACAGACTTGTGCGCTGGTGGCGATTTCATGAGACACTGGGAGACACCGGGGCAGTACAACAAGGCAGACCGACAGCCATTTTAACATTATAACCGGCAAGCAGCATTCACCACACGAATAAGAAATTATATAAAAGGAAATATGGGCCAGTGCGGTATTACGTCTTCGAAGACAGTTCTGGTTTTCCTTAACCTAATATTCTGGGTAAGCAAACCTTTTGCTATTATTTCTGTATGCGAAATGGTCAGGAAGGCTGTAATATACGCAGCAGATTTTGTGACTTAACTGGGAGAAGCAATGTGCGTCGCCAGACTGCGATCCAGCTTGGATTGGAGGGGGGCCGATGGCAGCGCTGGGACAGTCGGCTCCGGAGAGGAAACTGCGTCTATTGTGCATTGTTATACTTAAGAGTATATAATTCTACCTAAATGTGGTGCCATAAAATGGGGGGGGGGGGATGTGGAATCCAGTGCAGAAAATGACATTCTATATAATAACACAAGACGCAATACAATATTATATAATGCTGCATTATGTAATATTATATATTGTGACGAAGTTGCGTTCCTCTTGGTTTGCAGCGGTGGTTGAAAGTGGAGATGCGGCTGTTTCTATGGAAGGTTACAGCTTCAGCTGCGCAGGAATGAAACTCCGTGGCGTCTCAGCCACGGTCATTAATATGAGCACCGCGATCGTTCTTTTCTTTAAATCCTTCCCTGCTTCGCGAATCGTTTTCTGGGGCTTTGTGTTACCCGGTGAATTAGCGTCCTTACGGTGCGTGTGGTGCATTATTATCTATATCGCACATAGCTACAGCAATAATAAAAGCAGGAAAAAATGTCGGTGTGTCTGTCTATGCCACCTATTTACAGATATAAAATAGCATAGGTCATTGCTTTGTTTCGGTGTGATAATGTTGTTCCTCAGTATCCGGTTCTTTCAGATGTGCCGAGGTATGTGCATACAATGCATAATTTTAGCCATGTACTGTGTGCCAGACGTGGCTAACGGTGCATTCTCGAGTTCACCAGAGACGCCTAAAATGCCGAGTGCAACATATTCATTTCGTCAAAAATAGCTTATAATTTGATCTGGAGAATGTAAGAAATATGACTGAACAATGGATTGGCAGGGCACCAGTAATTGCAAGGTATTATTTCACAGAGAAAGGAGATAAGTAGGTTTTGCAAACATTGCATGATGAATTGGAAACCCTTTGGCCTGAAGACCTGATGTAGCCTCTTTTGGTCCCTTGGGGGGTGGGGAGGGATGATGGGAACAGAGAAACCCGGGTAGGCGTGGCACGTGCCCTGATGCACCCCTTGTTAGCCTGCTGGATCCAGGCAGGATACTGGAAGGGCTGGCTGTCCGGGTCTGGCTGTGCACAATACCTACAGCTTAGAGGGGTCGCTTAGGTATCGTTAAAACCGTTAGCTTCCACCTTTAGCTAACATTAAAACACCCGATCTACCCCCCCCCCCCCCTCACCCCAACCATTGGCATGATAGCAATAATTCTCTGTCACTAGGCAGTTTTCAGTAATAATTGGCATATAACATAGTTTAGTCATACCAGGATCTGAGCTGCAGAGTTCAGCTGATATTAGAAATATCTGCCATGACAGAAGACATCAAATAGAGAATGAGTATAATTTTTGGAAAGTATATATTGTTTGTTCAGAAATAACTTTTCAGTTTTTCTCCCCGTTTTGGTATTTCTGTAAGCGGCGTGTAAGAGCCATGGCTTGTCGACCCATCGACACTTCATGATCAGCAGATTTCAGACGGGACAGCAGCTGTCCCTGATAAGTATTTATGAGCTGGGATTATCAAGACACACATCTCCGCAGTGCTGAGGGGCTGTTTGTAACTGTGCGCATCGTCAAATCTGTCTGTCGCCGCGAGCGACAGTGAAAAGACGCCTGTGTTCTTCAGACACACGGCCTCTGTCACGGAAGTTGATGTAAAAGTGAAATATATAAATAAAAATGTCGCTTTCAACACTGATTTAAAAAATGAATCTAAAAATAGCTGGATCTGACAGATTCTCTCTTCAGTGAATTCATCTTGTGGTTAAAGTTTATTTAATTTCTCTATTTTTTTTAGTATTTGGTAACACCCGGATGACTATAAGACATCAATAGAATGCAGAACTTCCTTATAAGACCTTCATTTAATTGAGAAAACATCAGTAATTTTTATGTATGTATTCTTCTGCTTGAGTGGATGAGGTTTGACCTCTATATTGGTGAAGCATTTTGTGTTTTTGCCAGAACGGACAGGTCGTTACTCAAACCGCCACACAAGGTATCGCCAACCACTCACAACCATTCACCGGGTGACAAGAGGAAGTCTTGTATTTTTCTTTGCAATTTTCATTTCACGATGACAGACTCCTTGTAGGAAAGGCGTGTGATTCTCTGTATCACTTTCTGCCAAGTTGATAGCTTCTTTTACACACGGTATTCACTTTGTGTCTCTTATTATTCTCTATCTACAGCTTTCATGTAACATTTTCTGTTCTTCACCTTTCTTGGCATATACATCACATTTCCCACCGCCTCGGAATTACAGCACCCATTATTCTTTATTTACTGCATTGTCAGTACTGTGCTAAATGCATTAACTGACAAACATCAACACATCACTAAGCGGATAGGAAACCATCTGTGACTGTGACGTCTTCTACAGACAATGGCCTTCTGTCCTGAAGTGTCCAAAAACAGGTCAAGTTGGCTATTGTTTTCATTCCTGTTGTCTGCTAGGCAGTGTTAGTTCACACTAAGACATGACGACTCCATGACCTTTGACTCTCCAACTTCAGCAGCACTAAACAGGTGGACCCAGCCCCTGATTATCTTTCTCCTCCCTGTGTTTGTACAGGCGGCAGCTGGCATTCTGTGCTACGTCGGCGCCTACGTCTTCATCACATATGATGACTACGAGCATTTCTTCGAGGACGTGTACACACTCATCCCCGCCGTCATCATCATCGCCGTTGGGACCCTCCTCTTCATCATCGGGCTGATCGGCTGCTGCGCCACGATACGAGAGAGCCGCTGTGGCCTGGCAACAGTAAGGGGACGCCGGGGAATGTGGGCCTGTTTCCGCTTATGCACAGTCACATGGCCAGGCCCCCTGCTGGCCACTCAGGGAACAACTTATTAGCCTACAACTCCCGTAGACTAAACAGAACTTTGGGTCAAAGTTTGAGGGTCTAGTCAAGGCATTAATCATAAATAACCACACCCTGTGTATTTAGTTTTCACAAATGTCATTTGCAGGATTCTTTGTGACAGGAATCCCTGAATTTATTAATCTCTTTTTACCCCCAACAGTTTGTGATAATCCTGTTGCTGGTGTTTGCTACTGAAGTCGTGGTGGTGGTTCTAGGTTATGTTTACAGAGCAAAGGTGAGTCTTACCTTGTCTGGCAAATATTGAAGTTGGCTGGGCTTCTGTTAAGGCAGATTGAAAAATTCTTAGGAAATTGGTTTAGCTCATCGTAGTTGATTTAGAAGGAAGTAAATGTTAAGTGATACGTCGGTGCTGGTGATTAAGTGACTGCAGTGTGCCCTCTGAGCCACGCCAGTGTATGTGTTGGCACTGTCTCAAACATCCTGTTCGCACACCCCTCTGGACATTTACAGTGGGCCACTTCTAGAATTTAATGCCATTCCAGTAGACAATGTAAAACTTCAAGCATTGACTACTACATTATTGTAGCACCTGTGTGTCTCATATCCAAGGTGATAGAACTCCATGGTGTTCCTGCGTCCAGGTTTACAGTCACGCCTCAATCTGCGAGGCACAGCAGGCTCCAAACTATTTTCACATTACATTATAGTGCGTAGTCTTTTCCAATGAGCCTTCGTTTACTAAAATTATAGCCTGGTTCTTAAAGACTAAGAACATATTTTGGCTTTACATGTAATCCATGTTGCTCTGAATTAGATGAAATGTTTGGAATTTGAAATGTAACTCAACAGGTTTCTAACGACCCAAGTCAAGTTGCACCAGTTCAGCAGTGACCCACATTCTTGTTTAGTCACTGTGTTAGTCACCCGTCTGCTGAATATTGAGAACATTGTGTGAGTCCTGTTAATGGTATCTCATTAAACAAGCTGTTTTATTCAGGTTGAAGATGAGGTCGATTCCTCCATCCAGAAGGTGTACGAGGAGTACAACGGGACAAACTCAGATGCCCCCAGCCGTGCCATCGACTACGTGCAGAGACAGGTAATAAAGGTTTACCAAACATTTGAAGCTGATTTTGATGGAAAAAAAACATTTAATGTTGTAGAAGTGTGGCTTAGCGTAAAGCCTTCAGGTTCTATTTTCTTATGGAGAGAGTAAGCTAACTAGTTAATGACTTGTAATTTATGTCCGTTGAATGTACGCTAAGTAAGGTTTAGTGCTACATCTTGGGATGGTTACCATCTTCAGCTCCACGTTTCTCTGTCTCTCTCACACTCAGCTTCACTGCTGCGGCATTCACAACTACTCAGACTGGAGGAACACGCGCTGGTTCAAGGAGGTCAGGAACAACAGCGTCCCCATCAGCTGCTGCAGGCCTGGCATCGTAAACTGCACCGGATCCCTCACCCGCCCGGGAGACCTCTACCCGGAGGTGAGGCGTGAGGGAGATCTGTCCCAGCCTGGGGCAGCAGCGTTTGTGGGCAGGAGGGCAGCTGGGCGGTTTGCAGTGATAGCAGTGGGAATAAACTGGAAGATTGATGCAGGAGGATAACTGGCCCACTATTTTTCGGTTTGATCACAGAGAGGCTGCGGTATCAGCTAAAACCCTCCATGCCCCAGCAACGGCTACAAACTGTCTGTGAATAAATTGGTCACATAGTACATTGATTTTGTGTTGACGGCAATGACTGAGGGAGACACACTAATAATAAACTTTCACTCGTTTGTAGCCCATTGTGACAAGATGATAAAGGGAGGTTGATCTTCCCGCTGTAATCAAGGCAAAGGGCCGTCATGGGAATTAAACTGTGAAGTTTCCTGGCATTCATTATTCTCTGACAGCTTAGCGGCAATTTTGCTATTGATCCTACTTACGAGAGCCATGATCCTCTTCTCAGTTGTATTGAGGGATTATTATTTTTATTTATTGTTCATTTTAGTTTGATTTTTCTATCACATCTTCTAGATTTAATGTACATGAAAGCATAATTAAGAATGGTTCATAAATATTATGGTCAAGGCGATTGGAATGACTCATAATGGAATGGAGGATGCATTTTTCTTCTTAACTACATTGTTTCCAGTTATCATCATTTTTGGCTTAATCAGGGTTGAGTCATTTAGGTTAAGGACCTCCCTTCTCACAGAATGCCTCCCAGTCTTTAACCTTTACACCACAAAACATTCTTAAATTACACATTTGTAATGGGTACACTGGTGGATCGCTCCTTTAGGACTGTATTGTAAAAATACCAGTAAGTTCTTTGTAATGGTTTTTATGGCATTGTGTGACACTTGTTGTTTCTTGCAATGCACTTGTTGTGTTTCTCCAGGGCTGTGAAGCACTTGTTGTGAAGAAATTGAAGGAGATCATGATGTACGTCATCTGGGCGGCCCTGACATTTGCGTCAATACAGGTAAAAAAACAAAAGGGATTTTCAACAAATTCCACATCAATAATCTGTGGGGCTCTACTAAGCTTTTTGATTCAATAACCAACCACTACAATACCATGCATTGTACATAAATTCAAAACGATGAACACTAGACATAGTAGTTGAACCATGAAATAACATACAAGGACTTGAAATAAGAATAAGCACAAGCTGTCGTTTCGAGTAAGATACACATGCAGACAAACCTGTGTTGCTTCATTTGTATAACTTAATTGGGATGACAGTATTAATAAGTTTGGTTATTTGTGTTAGCTTAATCTCTATTGGTGGTGTCTTAATGAGTTTTTATTGCAAATTAATTGCTCTTGTTGGATATCAGCATGTTATGCCAACAAGAGGATGATTGACTGGAGTATGTATTGGTATGAAATAAAACAATGACATATGGATATATGTCACTAGTGAGCCATCCATGAGAGTAACTAGAAATGCACAATAGATTTGGTTAATATATCAGTATCCGCCAATGTTACTTAAACGTTAAGACATCGACATCGGTCAGATGTGTCTTGGTGACGTTGCCACCCAATATTTAGACTTTAGTCCATATTCAAAATTGGCAGCACCAGACATAATTACTAAAATAATGGTGATGTTTGCAATGGACAATTAGCCATTTTTTGTTATGGAGGACGAGGGATTTTGTTGGTTCATTTAGCACTTATAACCTTCGCTATCATCTACCAAGTTGGCACCACTACACCGATGTCTGATTGCTTGTGTTATATGATGTGGAAGCTCCACACATTTTCGATACGTTAAGAAGGAATGTTACAAACATCAGTTTCACTACATATTTGTAGATCTCATAGGTTAGCCAGTTATTGGTATCAGTTTCGGTAATATTAGACCAAAAATACATAGGTTATTGGTTTGGACCTAAGTTTCCACATTGGTGCACTATTAAGAAATGTGGATTAATGAGCACTACTACAGCATTGTACACTAGTGTAAGATGAGGGTATACAGGAGGAGAAGAGCTGCAGTACTGAGTGGGAGTATTGTTGCATTAATGCAGGATATACAGGAGGAGAATATCTGCAGTACTGAGTGGGAGTACTGTGACTATAAAGTAGGGTATACAAGAGGAGAAGAGCTGCAGTACTGAGTGGGAGTACTGTGGGAGTAAGGTGGGGTATACAGGAGGAGAAAAGCTGCAGTACTGAGTGGGAGTACTATGACAGTAAGGTGGGGTATACAGGCGGAGAGCAGCTGCAGTACTGAGTGGGAGTACTGTTCCAGTAAGGTGGGGTATACAGGAGGAGAAGAGCTGCAGTAATGCAGTACTGACTATGAGTACTGATCCAGTAAGGTGGGGTTTAGAGCAGGGGTAGAGCTGCAGTAATGCAGTACTGAGTAGATGTATTGTTCCAGTAAGGCGGGGTATATAGCTTGCCTACTCCCGCACTGACTTGGTTGTGTAAGGGCTTAATGTGCAGTATAAACCCTAAAGGGGCCTAACAGAAAGTGCACCCAGGACCAGAAGAGCATTCCGACTCAGACTCCGCTCATGATAACTCAGACCTTGAAATGAGAACAAGCAACTGCTTTTAAGTAACCTAGAAAGGACCGTGTGTCCCCCTGTGTCTGAGCGAGCGGGTTTGTATAAGCAGACTGCTAAATGTGCAGTAAATTTCCCACCACATATTTTATTTATACATCAGAAGCAGGCTACCCATCTGTTATTTCCTGTTAACAAGTCTGCTGACAGTCCTGCTGTCAGGCATTTCTGCTTTTTCTCCTTTACAAACCTTTTGTTTTCGTCAGTTTTGCTTCATTAATTTTTTTTTCATTAAATCTTCATTATAACCTGGGCTAAACTAGCTGAGAGGGAAATTTAGAAGATGGTAGGCAGAGCAATGGAAGATTAACACATGGTCACATTATCCCTCTTCCAAGTGAAATTTTATCCGCCGGTGCTGTTCCTGCCACCCCCTTTGCATGATCTGGGGGGGGGGGGGGGGTGCTCCAGTGACTAAGCAGGCAGAAACTTTTACTCTGTTCAGTGTGGACAAAATTTGTATGTGTAGATTTTTTTTTCTGTTCAGAGATTTTATCTGGGGAATCACTTGGGCTGCTATGGTTTGTGTGCTGGGGATGCTGGGAATTGCAGTCAGCAGTAAGAAAAGTAACTCTGCTATTTGTCTGGCCTTCTGTTTAGGGGAATTTCTACTGCCAGGCTAATTCCCCAGAGGTCTGTCTGCCCTGGGCAGACCCAGAGTGATAACTGAGGCTCAGAGTTCGGATTACACTGTTAGTCATTTCACAGTGCAGGAGATCAAATCTGTATAGAGGAACCTTTTCATGCTCTGTTTGCTGGCCCATAGCATGTAAGAGCCCATATACATGGCTTGGGCTATAGGGTGTGCCTTTCATTTGTAGGGCTTCTCTTTATGTTAGCCCTCAGGCTAGGCCTAAAGCTGCCCCTTTTTTCTCTTATCAATGGGGAAGCTTGGCGTTACTCAGCAGCTGCCCGTGTCACGTTCCAGGGTTCATGTATCCCATTTCCCAGCCCGGCCCCTATTCTGACCACATTTTCTGCCTGCACCCCCCCACCTCAACCCATCCATGTGAGAATGCCTCCCTCCTAAGCTGACGGTTCTGCCCGCCTGTCTTGCTTTTAGATGCTGGGCATGCTGTGTGCCTGCGTGGTTCTGTGCCGGAGGGGTCGCGACCCTGCCTACGAGCTGCTGGTGAGCGGCAGCACATACGCCTGAAGAGGAGCGAAGTCTGAAGCCAGCCCCCCCCACCCCCTCCCTCCCCAACAGTCCCTCTCTGCTCACTCTGCACACCGGGCGCGGGCGGGGATCCTATTTATTTACACGCATCATAAACTGCTCTTTTAACCTAAAGTATTTCAAAACCGCTGTAAAATAGTGATGGCCAGTGTCTGAAATGGCATTAAAACATTTGTATTTTTTGGCTGTTGGGGAACCCATACTTTTGTATAGGACGTTTGGCGGCTCCTGTTGGCAACTGGAATCTACTGTATGAAGTGATATTTGGAATGTCTTATTTCCTCGCGTGGCAGTTTGCACTATGTCTAGGGTTCGGGGGATATTTTATAAATATGAAATGACGTACACACTATAAATATTTTCAAGATGGCCTTCTGCTTTATGAGTCCTGGCTGTGGCAGGAGTCCTGTTAGTGTAACTCGCAGAGGGACCCTGTGTCAAGACGGTCCAGTCAAACACTGCTAAATTGTCCCTGATGTTTTTCTTGTTCTTGGGGATCCAGCACTCCACTTACGTAGTTTGAAAACGGACTGTATTTTCGAATTGACCAATTTGCACTGCGTAGTACGTTGTGAAAAATCACACCATTTCATTTATTTTTTTCTTCCGTTCTGTGTTCCTTTGTGACGTCAAGTGGACTGGTAGGAATTAGATTTGATTTGAAGATGTAACTACATAGAGTAACACGCCCCGATGTAAAAACTGAAGTCAATGTAAATAGATTAGGGAGAGAAACTTTCATGAAATTAATCTGTAAATTCCAAATAAAAAACAAACCTTTTTGTCCCACAGAATGATACTTGTAATACTTGTATGTCACAATATGAAAATGGTTTAAGGTTTGGGATTGTTGAAAATGACCCAGTTTTTCTTAATTTTTATGGAAATTTATTAGGATATTAAATTATTAGTGTTTTATGCCTTTAATGACAGCTGTTTCTGACTTGGCACATCAATTGCAAAAAATGATTATTCCAGTCCCGATTTAAGCAGCTTTCTACTGAAGTTCTTTTATTCACCTAAACAAGGCCTAGATGGTAGATTTTGTTGTTGTCATTGCCAATTTAAAAAAATATTATAGAGTGACTGGAAAGGACCTATAATTTTGTTGGATTTTACTCAAGTTCCCCTTATCTTGCTTGATTACTCTTGTCAGTGAAACGGGCAGGTGGTGAGTCACCATGGACAGGGTCCCCTGCCACCCCCCCCCCCCACAGAGAATGGCAGGTCACAAAGGCTCATTGTTATGGAGGGAGGGGAGAAGTCAGAATGTGCACATTTGTATTGTGCAGGAAAGGGCAAAGTTCACCTCTTTTCCCATGGAAGAGAGCTTGGTTTCTCTGATTTACTCATGGTATGTGAGTGTATGCAAATGTCTACCTCACAAAAGTGCTTTTAGTTACAAGCAACATGCAGACGTCCCAAACACATTTCACATTGTAAGGCTTATAACCAAAATCAGCTTTTTGCTACTTCTTGGAGCCATAGGTCACTCTAATCTCTCTGATTCATTTCTGTATCTCTGTAACTGGTGTGTGGAGTGTGTTTTATTGCACCATGCAATGTCCTTCTACTTTCAGCTTGGTGATCGTCACACAGAACATGATCATCACCAGAGAAAACTGTGTTGAAGCCTCACAATATATGATGTAACATTAGTGCCCTGAATGGTAGACGGCCGCACTGCAGATGGCTGCGTAACTTTCATTCCTGTTATCTCCATGACTCATTTTAGCAGCTGAGTTCATCCAATCTGTCTGCTTTATCAGAGCTCCTGAAACCTTTGAGCTCCTTGGACTGAAGGAACTGATGTAGAGAGCCTGGGTGTAAATGTGGGTGTGTCTGTGTGAGTGTGTCAGTCTGTGTGGGTGTGTCTGTGTGAGTGTGTCAGTCTTTGTGAGTGTGTCAGTCTGTGTGAGTGTGTCTCTGTGTGTGTCAGTCTGTATGAGTGTGTCTCTGTGTGTGTCAGTCTGTATGAGTGTGTCAGTCTGTGTGAGTGTGTCAGTCTCTGTGTGTGTCAGTCTGTGTGTGTCAGTCTGTGGAGTGTGTCTGTGTGTGTCAGTTTGTGTGTCTATGAGTGTGTCAGTCTGTGTGTGTGTCAGTCTGTGTGTGTCAGTCTGTGGAGTGTGTCTGTGTGTGTCAGTTTGTGTGTCTATGAGTGTGTGTCTGTGAGTGTGTCAGTCTGTGTCAGTGTCAGTCTGTGTGATTGTCATTCTGTGTGCGTGTCTGTATGAGTGTGTCAGTCTCTCTCTGTGTGTCTGTGTATATCTGAGCTTTTTAATAGTCCCACCTACCTATGACTGAGTCATAAGTAGCATCATGGGCTCAGCTACACCTGTCAGTTTCTGCAACCAAACCTTCCAGAGTAGAAGTGTGGGCATTTGCGCACCCTGGCAGACCTGCATACCATTTTTTCCCCATTTAAACATTCCCTGTTCCTACTTGAGAAATTCAGGTCACCTGACCTAGATGCACTCAAGCAGGATCAGCCCTGGGGTGTAATCTGGCATCCTTCAGGTATCCAGTGTGGGTCATTATTTGGGAATGTGCTAAATTGGTCCATGCAAACCACTGAAGATGGGGGCTGGTTATGTGGTTTTTCTCTGGTGAATCTCTGGCTGATCATATCCACATTCCAAGGCCAGAACATTTTTTATAGTGCAACATGTAACATACAAATGGAGTCTCAGCAGCTGGATTATTCAAATATTATATATAAAAAGCCATTATATATTTTAAAGAGTACCACATCTATGTAAATCACACATACTAAACATCTGGGTGAGTAGCGTTCCTGTGGTGTGCATTATTATAAAATTAATGTAACATTCACTACAGTAAATTAACATTCAGTTCAATATAAATAACCGTCTGAATGGGGGCTGTCGTATTTCATTTATCGAGGTTTTCTATAAATAAATGAAGCCGATTCTGTCAAGCGGATAGTGACATTAGCGAAGCCCCTAATGGTCCATGTTCGTTATTTCTGCTCTCAGTAGTTCCCCCGTCACTTGTACTGCGGATGTCTTTGACACCTTAAAACCATGAAGTCCTTCCTTGGGGTGGCACATTTACACAGTGGATACATTCAGGTAGATTCCCTGGGGATGCGTGGGCAGGTGTGAATAGGCAATCACACGCCTTGTGTCACACTTTGGTCAAGTAGGTCCCCGGCACCAATCCCGATCGCCCATTCCTCTCCACTGTCCACCATCCGTCAGCTGCCTGATCAATGACGGCCACGATGTCCCCCATCGAGATGGACAGCTCATCTGAAGTCTGTGGAAAATAAAGGGATGGGGGGGTAGTGGTGTCAGATTTAAGCCCACCCCTCCAAGCATAACAAAAGCCTCATTCACAGTTCATCTCTACGTCCTTGAAGCTCTACGTGGGCCTGAAGTTTGTCACTGACTAGCAGACTGTGGGCGTCTGCTGTGGTGGGTCCTATCAATCGCAGCAGAGATTGCATCCTCACTGTGGTCTCTTGTGGGAGTTGTTACCATACTCCAGCAGTTACATAGGCCGTATTAATCTACATCTGTGTTCTACTCATGCTGAAGTGAGGTTCTGTGATACTACATACATTCTCAAAAGTTCAGATCAGTTGTATAATGGAGTTATGTTAAACTGCCTTGGTACCGATTAAGTCAATATAAAAATCATGACAGCTGTAATACGTGAAAAATGCAGCCCTCTGGGTTTTTCACTTGGACGAAAACCCTAAAGTACTTAATCGGCTGGTGGAACGGCCTGTGCGGGGGCTGCGGGGGCGGGGATGGCGGTTATCTCCCACCTGGGCCTGGTAGTCATATAAGGCTTTGTATCCCCCTCCACTGTTTCCACTCGTTTGGACGGGTATGGATGCATAGACCCCGTCGGATTTCTCTGGATTGTCTAGAGGGGAAACAACATGCAGCGTGTGCAAGTTGAGTAATTTTTCATATCAATTATTTGGCAACAAACAAACATGAAACTGATAACTGAAACAGAAGTGTTTTTCAGGTAACGTTCTGCGTTAAATTTAAGACAAAAGATGATTTGAGTATAGCGCCATCTGTTGGTTTGACATATTCTCATACGTCCTCAGCTTGATGCATTATTTATCATTATTGTATTTCTAAAAACAATGTTTTTGCTTTTTATCAGAAAATATAATGTAGTTTTATGCATTTTCTTTTTTCCAACAATTCCAAACTACACTCCTTTTTCTTTTGGAGCCTCCATACATACAGTACATACAGTCACAGGAGTTACAGCTTATCAGTACTGACCAGTAAAGGGTGCTGTTTCCCCAGCACAGCTGTCAATGTTCATCCTTGATCCACTGCTGCAATTCCCTTGTAACAGATTGGAAAACCTAAAAACAGAACCAGACGTTAAGGACGGCACTAAAAAAGTACAATAGTTTCCTGTAGACAGTTTTCTTGTGAAGAAATCAGCTTTCAGAGCCATTATCCAACTGAACAGCTTTGAGTATTATTTATCCTGTACAATAGCTTAATATACTTTTTAAAAAATTCTATCTTCTGGCATTACAGTTTTCAGTAGTAAACTATCCCCTTGCGCTGTAGTAGGGCTTCCTGTCATCAAGACAAAAAAAACACAGAATCTTGTCACCTGGATATTTTCTCTCACCCATTTCTCTTTTAGATCACATTTTAAGGCAACCAATCATTGAAACATGTGGGAAACTCCAGTGCTTTGCATTATGTAATGTTACTTGTAAGACTACATTACAATAGCACAATACAGTGAATTCCCAGTTAATGCCACAACAGCCCTACTATTTTACACATAAAATGTCTATGACATTGGATATTATTGCTGCTTGGGACTTTTCTTTCTCACATTGCTTCTACCCAATGCATGGTCACCATGGAGTGTATACTAGGCAGTATAAGCAGGAGGCAGCGTAAGCCAGACCACCATCATCAGCACGCATAGTAAAGACCATTTAGAGACAAAAGTCCATCGACACAGCCTGACTCTGGGCTGGAGATAGGAAATCAAAGACCCTCGCAGACATGCACTGTCACCCTGAACTTTTCTAGACATTATCCGGAGGGGCTCTACGTGTGAACGCAAATGTCTGAAACATTATACAGACTTTACCCTGTGAGCTCTTTAGTACGCAGTCCGGGTAATTTCTGATTGACCGCCGTGTGTGAATGCGGCAGGGAGAAATGCAGAGAATTGACTGCTAGAGAGTGGGTGTGTTGATGTTGTTTCTATCATGCGACTGGTGCAAAAAATGGAAGAATACAAACATCTTTTACTCAAAGAAGACCCCACTGAACACGGCTATCTTCTGTCAGTAGTGCTGCAAACAAAACACTGTGATTTCCGCTTCGCACTTTTCTCCATCACACCCTGCCCCCTGCATGCTCTACCGAAGCGTTACCCCTCGTCTAAACCAACCGGAATATTTCTAGTAGGTGTTTCCAGTAACTCATTTAACACTGAGGATCTCCAGCTGTGCGCCCCATGTGTGAAAATATCCCCACCTGATTCTGCAGACAATGTCCAAAGTTCACGTCTGAAATCAGCTCAAGCCACTTGGTGCAAACCCACGTGAACATGGGAAGAGCTTACAAATGCAACACCCAATGATGGAAGTATGCCCACAAGCCTCTACTGATATATAATTAAAATCATCAGCACACCATTCTATACCTCAGTGGCCCCTTTACCCCTGCACGCCTATACACGTCTGGATATGACCCCCATTTGCCACAGAAAGCCTGAAGGCATAGCTGAATAAAGTGTTGGAAAAATTCCTTAGGGATTATGGTTCATGCTGGCTTAATAGCATTGCACAGCTCATGCAGAGGCCTCAACCTCAAAGTCAAGCTACAATCCTCTCATTCCATCTCATCCCTATGGTGCCCTTTTGAATTTCGGTTGGGGAATTGTGTAGGCAGACTGGGACGAAGTGAGGTCTCACGCTGTTTGAGCCAACTAAGCATGATGCGGCACATTGTCTTACTGGAAACATCCATTTCAATGAAGGGAACACTGTGACCATGAATGGATGCCTAATGTGTGCCAAGAAAACAGATCTCCTCCACCCTTACAATCAATCAAACATTTCAATCAGACCAGGTGACATTTTTCCACTCTTCAATCACCCAGCAGTCATACCAAGTACAAGATCACTTACAGCTTGTGTCTTGCTTATTCCAATACTTAGTGGAACAGTAAATAACCCTCTTGACCCACACAGTCATGTGAAATTCTAAGATTTTGCGTATCAATACAAAGTTCATGACAGTACAATTAGAAAAAGACTGAACAAATATGGCTTGTTTGGAAGGTCTGCCAGGAGAAAGACTCTTCTCTCTGAAAAGAACATGGCAGCACAGCTTCGGTTTGCAGAATTGCATCTTAACAAACCACAAGACCTCTGGAACAATGTCCTTTGTACAGACGAGACCAAAGTGGAAAGGTTTGGCCATAATGCACAGTCCCACGTTTGGCAAAAACCAAGCGAAGCATATCAACACAAACACTTCACACCAACTGTGAAGCACAGTGGGCTAATGAATTGGGCTTGTGTTGCAGCCACAGGACCTTGCAGTCATTGACTCGACCATGAACTCCTCTTTATACCAAAGCACTGTAGTGTGGTGGGACTTTAAGAGAGCTGTGCATGAATGACATCCGCAAACCTCAATGAACTGAAGCATTGTTGTAAAGAAAAGTGGGCCAAAAATTATTATGTCCTGATATGTATAACTATAGAACTGAAAGCGGGTTTATGTGTATGTGCAGGTGTATATACAGCCGTGAAAAAAATTGAGACCACAGCACAATTTATATATATATGCGCATCATTATCACTCAGTTTCAAGGAGCATGTACCAATGGGTAGATGTGCATGAAAAAGTGGCCACTGTATGTCTAAATATTAGTTTAGTGGTTGATGGATGTTCCTCTCCTGCCCAGGGGTCGTGGGTTGGGGTTAATGACATAAAAACAAAGTAGCCAAAATAAGGTTTTCCTGCAGGGTTACTGGTAGGGTTACTATGTTTGGTGAGACAGATAAGAAGACACTCAAAAAATGTCACAAATATAAAATAAATAAAAATGGCTTCTATCTTTGCCGCGAGAAACAGCCACAGTTGTAAAATACGAGCAATTTATAATAAAAAATGAAGAAAAAAAGTATTTTTACTTAAAAAAAAATTCAATAAAATGTGATAAAACATGTTTTAATTTGGGAATATTTGCTTACATTTTTTAATATTGATTAAACTTCAAGCAACTTCACACTGTTCACACTGTTCACTCTGTTCACACTGTTCACTCTGTTCAACACGAAAATAAACAAAGTGTCAACGTGACAATGGTTTCCAGATGTTGACATCATGTGTGAGCAGCATGACAACGCAGGGATGTGCATATTGTTTAACTTTTAAAGTAAACATGTGCTTGAGCCATGCAAACGCGGTGTGACGATACTGAGTGGCTGCCGCATACTGAGAATTGTAAAATTGTAACCTAACTTTTAAGGCCCGATTACAGCTGTAGGGGTGGCCCATCTTACCCGCAAAGGGCCGGTGTGTACGCAGGTTTTTGGGATAAACCTTTAGGTCAGCTGGTCAAACCCAGGTGTGAGAACTCTTCAGCCAATCAATCCTCTAATTAGTAATCTAATTAGGGATCTGCAGTGAAAACCCGCATATACAACGGCTGTGAGAGAAAGTCCATGTAGAACAGGGAGAACATGCAAACTCTACAGATAGTGGGATTCAAATCTCCATCTCTGGAGTGATGAGTTGACAGTGTTACTCCGCACAACATGACCTCTCTGTATGATACACACTTACTAACCTTCTTTGTTCTGACCCATAGTGCTTCGGGAAGAAGCGTCTACTAAACAAACACACAGTAAAATGGAAATGAATATGAAAAACCATATTCTTTCACTTCCTCATGCCTTGTGGTTGATGTTAGGGTTGGGGGGGCCAGGGCAGAAATCTTACCTCTTCTTCACCAGCCCGCTGAAACGGGCACTGCCGTTAGAGCTTTCAGATTGGTCCCTGTCATAGTAATTCTCAAACGTGATTGGACCTGTGGAGATGAGGGGCGGTCTTAGAAAGATGCCACAGTCCGTGTGCTAACCAGGCAGGTGTGGATGCTACAAACACACCCGAAACGGGCCAAACAGAAACGTGAGCACATTTTCACTACAGGCCCTTAACACGAGGGTGCCGGGTAGCTGAGTCACTTCAGCTGGTGAAAAGCCAAGTTAGTGACAGAAAAAAATAACCAAGCTTCTTCTAAACAAGAAATCAGAGTGAGTTACATATTTGTAAAAACTGTTAAATGTCTGGCAAAGCATTGCATAGATAACATTGGTTTTCAAAATTGTCTTTTGCTTCTTTGTGCTGGAAATCTAGTGTAAGAAATACTTGGAGGACATTAAGGTCAAATGTATCTGCCCCCCCTTAACAGAACAACTGGGGCCAGTGTGCCCCCCCTAGTTGAAATGGTCTAGAACTGCTACTGTATTGTGTACTGTACAATGACAATAAAGAATTGAATCTTTAAAGGAAAGTTGAATATTAAAGTGGCAAGCTTGAGCCAACCTGGAAAACACTGCCCCCTGTTGGGAAATATATGCTATTAAAAGATTGTGTTGTGTAGTTTTGTTTTACAATCATATTAATTAAGCACAGTGAGTGCTTAAAGCCTACCTGGGGGCTGTGAACCCGTCTGTTTGCTCTGGATGAAGGAGTTGTTATCTGCAATGATGTCACACTGTTCTAGACTTTTCCTCACCTCCTCATAGAACTGCAAAACAACATCATATTACCAAAGTTCACAAACTAAGGAGGACATGTATAGGACTGATTTGGGGAATATAGAGCACATTCTTTTATGAATCTTCTCTTCATACCCTGAGAATAAGATTCTCATTTGGTTTAATCTCAATTAAAAACCCAAAATACAAATACAGGTTTACTGTTGTTAGTGATGTACTGGTACCATTGACAAGATTCTTAACCTGTTAATTTCATCAGGGTGGTTTAGTTGGAACACAGATACTAACCTCATCATCGCTGACACACTGCACTGAGAAATGGTTGCAGTGCACCCACATGGCATTGCGTAGCACATTCATACGGTCCATCTCCTGCTGCTGTAACACCTAGAACCCAAAAAACATTAAGAAATCATCTTATTAACCATGCAATACATTCTTATGGTCCATCTCCTACTGCTGTATCACCTAGAACTCCCAAACCATAATGGACGCAATTATGCATGGCAACACATTCAAAAGGTCCATCTCCTGCCACTCAAACACTGAAAATTATCTTATGATTATGCAACACATTCATCCATCCATCCATCTTCTATCACCGTTTGTCCTATTAAGGGTCCTGGGGTCTGGAGCTTATCCTGCACATATACCATTTCCAGTTGCTCGAAAAACCCAGTTCTTCACAATAATGCCACATGTTCTGTCATTGAAATAACTAACCCTAAAAATGATGCTTTTTGTTCCTTTTGCTAAATTATTGGGTATAACTTGTATTATATAAGAATGTGTCAAACTCAAACCCAAATTTGCTATTTTCAACCATCAGTGTTCCGTTGCCACTTTATCCCTGGCAGGGTCGCGGTGAGCATGGAGATCCTCCCATGCTGAGATATATGCTCAGACACGTTTGGCAATATAGAGGCATGATCTGGAATAGGATCCACCCCCAGAATTCTTACTGGATGAGAAGGTGGAAGATTGATGACCGATGAATAGATGGAGTTTCCATAACTACTTATTTTTGACCATGCATGCATGAGGTGAACAAGAACAGCCAGGGCTGGAACTGAACCCATAACCCCCACATCCAAGACAGGCTGAGTACAGGGGGTCACTGTTACCTCGCAGGTGCTTTGGTGCGTTTTTTCCCAGTCCAAGCGGGTTTCATCCAGCTGCTCAGTGCTGGCCACGTACTGCTTTTCTGCAGAAGGAAGGACACATGTCACAAAGATTAATCACTCTACTCAAGCTTTTCTGACTTCAAATCGAAAGCAGTACAAACACAACAAGGAACAAAGTGAACTGCGAGCACATTCTGTTTTTCCTGGAATGATCGTGCCACTTCCTGCAGAAGCGAGGGAGCTGTTTTCACAGTTCAGAATTGCCCGGTTGTTACTGTTCATTGCTGAAAGGGGAACTGGGCTCGCTGTGAGTGAAGAGTTTACTGGGGAACCCGAGTAGAAAATAAACTACATCTCCGCTGTGCACATATAAGCATTCATCTTATGCAGCATTTCTGACTCATGCAAAGTACAAGAGCAGTACAGCTGTGGTGTAAGTCAACTAGATGAACTTAATTAATTTGGGTTTGCCCAAGAGGTCATTAAAGGTCTTGGTTTTGATCCAGGACACTCACAAACTCAGACAATCAGACTCCTCCAAAGCCACGATCAGAGCCTTCATTTACACTGCAAAGGTCACAGCATCCTTGACAAAGTCATGATTGGTGAAACTTTCCTTACCAACAGATGCCCCACAGTTGCTGGACCCCACGACTCTGCCCAACACCCAATCCATGCAAGAACAGAATAGGAACAAGAACACACTCCTGACGAACCCCAGAATCAACTAGGAAGAACGGAAAAGGTTCTGGCTCCACTCTGCACATCACTCACAGTGCTGGTATACTGGCCAGCCATGATGTCCAGCAACTTCAGGGGGATTCCACGAAGTCTCAGGATGTCCCACAGGGAAGCTCGATCAACTGAGTTGAATGCTTTACGAAAACTGACAAAGGCTACAAAGAAACCCTGCTGATATTCGCGTTTGTGCTTGTGATGGTTGACTTCTTAGGGTAAAACCAGACTTCTTTGGTTGCTAACAGGCATGCACGTGATCGTGGATCCTGTTGAAGATGCCCCTAGTAAGGACCTTACCCGGCACTGAGAGCAGTCTTATAGGTCATAGTAGTTGCTGCCATTCAAGCAATCACCCTTCCCTTTCCAGATAGGGACTTGCAATACCAGGAGGACAGCCTTACCACCAGCCTGGAGAAGTTCACCCCAGATACCACAGATCCCTGTGGCCTTCCCTACCACAGCTGGTTCACCACCTCTGCAATATCGGTGGGATTGGGTGGTTCACAGCCAGAGATGTCCAACGTCCTAGCTGGATGGTCAGCTTTAAACACCTGCTCAAAGTGGCCGGCCCAATGGGTCACAACTGCAGTGTCATCTGTGAGGACCATTTCTTCATCCGCCATGACTGTGACTCTCCAAGGAACAGATCTGGATGCATAATGATTTGTTGGCAGGATGTGGGTCGCTAGACCACAGATTCCTCTAACAAATGCCTCCTTATCTGCCCTCAGAGCCCTTGCAGCCGTCCTTCCTAGTTACCAGTACAGACTGTTGCCATCAAGCCATGTGCTGTTACTCAATAATATGCAATAACATCAAAGGAGCATAAGAACATCAGACTGGAAGTATTTAACAGTTGAAACAAGAACTAGTAGCACAGTGATTTGCAATCTTTGTAAAAACAAAGTTTTGAGAGCTGTAAGTAGCATTTAGTGGAAAATCCCACTAAAGAAAAAGCGTGCAGTTGTGCAAGACAACGCGGGTAATATGAAAACCGCAAAGGATGATTTGGGAGTCACAAACTTGGGCTGTTTTACACACTCGCTACAGCTTCTGATACGAGAGGCTGCTGTCACAGTGAAGTGTAAGTGATGCTGTTGCAGTGGGAGAAAAATTGTGGGACATTTTAAGCCTTCACTACTTGCGTATACTTTCCTGAAAGATATTCAAATTGAACTGCAAATACCTCAAAAACGCATAAAGCATGATGTACAAATGAGATGGAACAGTACGTTATGCATGTTTCTAGCAGTCTAATTAACAAAGCCTTTTGGTATGCATTTTTTCATTTGTATTTATTAGTATAAAAAATAATTCATCATTCATTCATCATTATTGTATCGGAATCTGTAACAGTTTCAGCAATTCTGAATCAGTATTGGATCGGAACTGAAAAAATGTGGATAGGCCCATCCCTAAACACAGGCATCAGCAACCTTCAGGCTCTTCCTACAGAAGGTCTTTCACATCATATTAGAATCAGCAGTTCGCCCAAGTCTGCAACTTCCTCACACAAACTGCGTGCAATCTCAGAAACAGCTTGATCTTGGAGTCTGGCTAAGTCCAGCCTCATTTCCCTACTAGGTGGTAGACTACTGGACCTAAGCTGAATCTTCAGAGTGGCATCAAGTCTGTGGTCAGAATTCACAAGCTGGGTGCTCCTGTAGACCTGAGGAGCCTCTAGCGTCTGCCCAGGATGATGTGATTGATCTCCTTTGACACCAGAACTTGAGTACCAAGTCTAGCCATGCAGCTCAGGGTACTAGAACCAGGATCCAGCGACCCACAGCCCTGACGTTTTTGCAAAGTCGATGAAGATGGAGCCACTTTCACCACGGTCACCAGACTCTTGGTCGACAGCCCTGTCAATGCCAAAGGTCAGGTGGAAGTCACCCATGACCAGAGGAGTGTTAACTTGTGTGCATCCATCAACCACCGAGTCAGGTTACACTGAGCGTAAACTGACAACAGACAAGTCACCCAGAGGCTGCCTTAATCTGAGTCGCATAGTACGCTCATTGAAAGGAGTGACATGGGATACCATCAGGAGGAGCCAACCCACCATAGCAAAAGCTCCTCCCTGAATATGGCAGCCATCAGAGCAACCAGACCAATAAGAAGTGTGCCCACCTACAGAGATCTGACCACACTCTGGTCTGCATACCTCAAAGGCCAACCTCCACTGAAATGCAGAGCTTATGAAGCTCCTTCGACAGCAGAGTAAGATGGTTATCATGCCAGAGAGCCAAGACATTCCACAGATCTACCCAGATGGGCCGCCTCAGACCCAAGTGCTGCCGTGCAGCCAGCAACACCTCAGCCCCACATCAGCATCTATCCCCAACATCTCTAATCCTATTGGCTCTCAGCGGTTACAACTGTTCCGGGGACGAGGCTCCTGAGGGCTTCCCCCATCCTCTTCATGACGAATGCATCCTTCCTTTGGGTGGCTGCAGTAGAGATACTCCCACGGAGAGCAGAATAGAGTCCTGTCTGCTGTTTGGGAGCTGGGTGAAGATATTCACGGTGGCTGGAGTGCCAGTCCCGCCACCAACCCCTAAATATTTCCCTGCAAGAATATTATCTGTCCCTGGACAAAAGAAGCTGTCGCATTAAGAAAACCACATGAAAGCATTTGTTATGTTGTTATTTTGTAGCAAGAAAGGACCAAGACACTGCTTTTTAGGCGACATTCAAAGCAATGTCGTCGGATCAAATCTACCACTGTCCAGGCTTCAAAGTATGGTGGGGGCAGCATCATGCTTTTTAAGCAGGGAACAGGCATCTTGTAAAGGAAGGATGGGTTGCACATTGCATAGGGAAATGCTGCAAGAGAACCTGTTTCAGTATTTGGCGAAGGATCATTTTTCAGCAAGGCAATAATCTCAAACTCCAAACCTCGATCCAACTGAGACTCTGGAACTACTTGAAAATTTGAATCCCCTGAACCTGAACAACAGGAGTAATTCTGCTCATGAAAACTAGCCAAATACTTTCCTGAAAAAAATGCAAAGCAGCTACATACTGTTTTTGCTGCAAAAGGTGACTTTACAAACTATTAAAATGTGACGATTATGCAAATTTATGCAAACCACATATTCTTGCTGATTTTCCTAAGGACATTTTCTAACACGAGTCGCAATAAAATAATCCCTGTGTTTATAAATGAAAATATTAGGTAAAGCTTTACATTTACTGCACCCTAGGAATGGTGAAGAGTGCTTTGATCAACGGGACGAGCGCCCAGAGATGCACGGATGCCTCCGGCAGCGTCACGGCCGCAGCGTGTCGGTCGTTACTCACCGGCCTCCTTGGCTGATTCCCTGCACTGCTTAGCCTTGTTCTGGGCCTGACGGAGGGGGAGGGGTGCAATGAGAGTGAAATTATGATGAGGAATTTAAACTAACCATATCTATGACACTATGTGGTGCATGCTATATTTAGTTATATGTCATAGCATGATGCCTATACTGATAAGATCGTTTGACAAGGTCATTTCCACCCTTGCTATTTCGACGAACGTGTGGTTGTTTCATAGTTGTTTTTCCGACTGCCTTCTGTACTCCTTTCTCGATGAAGTATATATAAATTCAAATAGATAATACTTGTGGGTAATGGTTACTGCAGCTTCTGGTAAGACGCAGCAGCGCTCTGCTGAACTCTGTCCAAGTTCTCACAGGTAGGTACCTTCTCGCACTGCTTGGGCGTCAGGTTGGGCGCATTCGCTGCCTTCTCGGACGCCTGCTCCGCCTCGTCTGCTTCCCTACACCGCTGTTCGTACGACCTTTTGGACTGAACAAAATGGTCGATAAGGGGTTTAGGGTGGTGGTGGTTGGTTGGGTTTCCTCTGTGACACATGACGTGCACACAAACCTCACAACAATACTGAATCTGCACGGCATGCTTCTCCTAAACTTGGCTTTTTGCTTTGGGGTAATTTGCACACAGGAAGTTCAGTTGTTTTTTTTTTTTCTTTACAAGAAAGGGGCTGCAAGAAAGGAAACTATCTGCCGTTGTGCAACGTGCAAGAGCTGAACAAAAACCAGAAACATGAACTAAAAAAAAAAAATGACTGAGATTTGCACAAACACAACAAGATAATCAGAAACAAATGCAGGCGGAGTGCTACCAGCTTCTGGTACACCCATGCCAGAAGAGGAGCACTGCACTGTCACTGCATCACTGTAATTCATAGTACTTTATAGTTTAGGCTTGCTCCCTGAAACCCTGCAGCTGCATGCTGCTTTAAGATTAGACCACCATTGTTACTGTATTCATTCAGGTGTCCAGTCACCTAGGGAAGTTAACGGGTCCTTGTAGCAGCCAATAATGTAATAACTGCTGATAACGTTTCAATTCTTAACGCAAAAAAAAAACAATATTAACTTAAAAGTAATATAATAACATTTCTGAATCGAAAACATTACAATGGTTTGTGCATAATTTAATGTTATTACATAAAAAATGTATTAAAAATGATATTATTGTCAGTTACTACACTATTGGAAGTTATTACATTACTGGTCTGCACAATCCAAAAAAGGATTTGATTAGATGATTATGTGAGATTTTTACAGCAGTATATGTGTGGGAATTTCAAAGACATCAAACTCGTCCTGGTGTCCATTACAGAGAACATTCATAAACGGATCAGTAATTCAACACTAAAATAACTAGACTTCTTTCATACTTTGCTAAATAATACCTGACGTATTTTCTAACAATGATATATACACAGCAACTACAGTTTTTTGTACTTTTTTTTCTCTGTCCATAAAATGCATTTGTTGATATGGTGGCCATTTTGTCAGAGAGAAAGAGTGAGTTTTCAAACCCCATCCCCACATATGTGGTATCATTGGAAGGCCCAGAAAGCAAAAAGCATCTTTATCATGCAATAGCAATAACTATGTTTTTTTTTCAAATCAGTGAAAGGACAGATGCAAAATCAAAATATTCACTACAGTGGACACAAATGGACGGGCGGAGTCTCAGGATGTTATATATTGTGAGTTGCCTCCATGGGTCACAGAAAGGGCACAGGGACCAGGAAGGTTTCAGTGTAATTTCACTATGTGGCTCCAACCTTTCATGCTTTCCTGTAGCGTTAGCATCCTGGTCGCCGAGCTGAACTGTAGTCTGTTCCTCTTAGGTAACGCTCTCTGACAAAGCACGCTGCCTTCCGATACGAGCTAATAATTTCCCTAAAAGGCTTCTGACGCAGCTTTTGTAATCCCTGCTGGCATAGAGGGAACCAGCTGACAGTGTCTACTTTGCAACTCACCTCCATTGTTTTCTTGAATAATGACACCTTTGTCTTCTGAACTTTTTCCATAATTCCTTCAAACTGCAAGAAGAGACAAAAAGTAAATACAGCAAAAGCCGGTGATGTACTGCAGTATTATACGGATTTGCATTGGCCTTATAAATGATTTAAGCAATAAAAAAGATGATTTGACAGAAGTCATCAAGCACAAAGGCCACGAACTCTGCTGGGGTCACCTGAGCAACCGCTGTCCTGTAATTCCACAACAGAACCGTAAATAGTCGTAAAATTAGAGGAGATAGAAGACCAGGAAAAAAACCATGTTCATGAAATTTCAAATCTCTTTATCGAAAGAGATGAGGGAAGCTCTCCAGACAAGCTGACGGGTCTGAAACACAGGCTTCCTGACCTTCTTCCTTTGCTCACGCTGTCGCTCTCGGAACTGCTCCATTCTCTTCACTTCTTCCTTCAGAGTTCCCGATAACTGGATGTGAAAATTCCCAATTTTCTCAATCTCTGAAAAAGGAGGTAACAGTCACTAAAAACAAAGCAACCAGCAGCTTACCTGAGCACCACCAAGCTTCCTGCTCTCCTTATAGTTTTATATAGCATTATATAGTATTTATATAGTATTATATAGTATTATAGTTTTGATTTGTTAAATTAGTTCCATATTTTTATATTATTTAATTTTCAAGTCCAATTTAGTTTTAGTTAGTTTAATTTTCTATATTTCAATTTATTTTTTATGTATTTCAGTTTCGGCTTAAGATTTAGTAATTGTATCTCTTGGGATTGACCGAAAGCTGTACAGCTCTTTTGTGTGTCTGATCTTTTTCGAGAACCGTACATGAAAATGCAGTTCACGCTATGTAGTAACATCCTCAAAAAGGGCAAAACATGTTCCAGGTAATACTAATTACTTTAGCAAAATAGTGTTTAAAAATGGCAACAGCAAGTGTTTGACGTTTGTTGTCATTTTATTTCAGTTAGTTTTGGAAGGAATATTTATAGTTTATTTTTTTTACTTGTAGTTTTTTATATTATTTTCAGTCTTGTTTTATTTTTATTTCAGTTTATTTCAGCTTTGTTTTGCTTGACGATAGTAACCCTGCTGTACAGCCACCAGTTGTGGTGTTGTCTGGGTTTACTTCGATGTTCACAGCCTCGCAGTGGGAGAAATGTCATGTCACTCATACTGAGAAAGCTGCCATCCGCCCAGCACAGACACACACACACACACACACGTCATCACTGGCAACGCTGGCCTTTCTGTGTAATGCCATTAAGGGACCAGACAGATCTCTATGGCGGACAGTCATGTCGAAGCTCACTGCGTCCCTAGCAGTAGGGATGACGATTGATGATTCTGTTGAGTTGAGGTGCAATCAATGGTATAATCGAAATTTCCTATAAATAGGTTTCCTTCCTGCAAAGTGAACGGGTACTGATGCCATGTTCAGATGAAGCAAGCGAAAGAAAAAAACATAAAAGCAGAAAGAGAGAAAACTGAGGTCAGGGTGTGCGGTGAAGATTACTTGTGATGTTGGGGTAACCTACTTCTTGAACAGTGTGCACACTCATGCGCCCCAGTTGTAATTTAACACTATAAGTGTGTGAATGTACGTGTAACGGAGGAGTAGGCTTTAGTTCGATACAACAAAAATAACCTTCACTACCTCATACACACTTATGGTTAAAAACCTTCATGACCGCTGCCTTGAGTCGCTGCAAACCCATGCAGGTTGTATGGTTTAATAACAGCGGGGCTATTTCTGCAGATGCATCGCACCTATAGCAAGGCTACACAAACTTGCTCCTGATTACACACCACCCTGTGGAGCTTAGCTTCAGCATAGTTGGCTCTAATACTGTGATGCCACAGAAGGGCCTGATTATCTCTATCAGGAAAATTAAATTCGGGCTGCACCTTAGCTCTGGTGGGTGGTAGATCTGTAGGAGCAGGACTGGGCAGCCCCGATCTACAGCACGCTCACGGAGCTACAGACATGGCCCCAGTTCTAAAGAGTGACCAGCAGAGTGAACTGAAATAAACGACATGAGCTTTACTGGCCATGTCCAAATTCAAGGGCTGCATCTTTCGAAGGACGTGGTCTACGAAGGCATAACCTTTCTTTGAAGGCACCGACCTGACACATTCGATCTTCGATTGTAGTCTTAGAAGGATACAGCCCTTAAATTCAGACACAGTCACTGAGATCAGGACGGACGGCTTCACCAAATGGGCCTTTCAGGAGCTCTACAGCAGGGGCATGCAGCCCCGAACCTGGAGTGCTGGTATCCTACCTGATGAGTTACTCTCTGCCTGAGATCAGGTGTGGTTCATCAGAGACCAGGTAAGATGGAAAACCTTTAGGATTCCAGCACTCCAGAACCAGGGTTGCCTAACCCTGCACTGATGTTAGCTGGGTAATGCTCTCAGACAACAAACAATGAATGTGGCTGAGATAAGCAAGAAGGGGTAAATGTTGTTCACAATCAATCATGCCAAACAGATTTTGTTGTCATAGAGACCCTGTGTCACAGTCCGTTGTATGTTTTAGATGTATAAGGGCAGATCTAGGAGGACCAGGGTTTACTGATTAGACCCATATCAATGTTGAACATTATATTGAACTCAATGCCCATGGAAAATGACACAGACCAGTAGTTTGAGTTGATATTGAAACCAAGGGTTATGGCCCTGAAATTGATATCATATAGGAACAAAATACTGACTGGTGTAAACATTCACTAAGCTTCAACGTCCGACTTACGGGCTTTGAGGTTTTCAAAGGAAGATTTCAAGGTCCTGTTGAAAAATTAAAATTAAAATATATTAGAACACAGAGATATTGACTGAAAACATGTAAACAGTTTCATGTGAGTAATGTTTTTACTTAGAGGAAGCTCAGTTTATTTTTTGTGAAGCAGCCCAACCCTGTATAGGATGACAGTGAGCTGGAGATTTCAGAAACTGATCAACTGAAAAGCCCTGTTTGAATCCAGAAAACACCAACATTTCAAGGCAATTGTGAAATAAATTATGTAGGTAATAGGTTAGCTAGACTGAAGCAGAGCAAAAACAAGAATCCATTTATTAACATAAATCCACATTTACACTCCGAACTGTGTCATTCGGTCCTGAAATCAAATCTGCAGTTTGAAATGTCTGTGCAGATTTTCAGAGCTATCTTGAGACCTTGTGTGTTGGGCCAATATTCCTTTGACCAGACACAGGGGGGGGAGGGGGGGGGTGACTTTCTCCCCTGGCCAGAGGGCCTTTCTGCATGGCCCTTCCTGTAATAGTGAGCTGTGATTCACACCAGCAGTACATAAAAACACCAAGTTACACTCCGCATTGAAATTTGCGGTGAATGTGAACAGGAAGTGAGAGGGCAGTGTGAACATATATGTACACTGGATACTCAGGGCCCTGATGTCTTATTGCAGATTTAAAAAAAAAAAAATAGTTATTCACATCCTGCTCTGGGCACATCTTAAAAAACACATTCACATCCTGCTCTGGGCACATCTTTAATACTCTTTAAAAGATTTTCATATTGATTTGAAACAGAAACCAAAATGCTCAAAAAGCTGTAATCTTTATTGTAAATAATGTTGCTTATATCCTTTACATTTGTTCATTCAATCACAAAGGATTGTGCTAAAATGTGATGCAGCCAATTTTAAAAACATGCAACCATGAGTCTGCCTAGAATGCCGTTCATGCTACTTCTTCATTTTTAGCATGATCTACAGAAATAAAGTCAGAGGAACTACAACACAATTAATTGTCACACATGAATAATCGGTATCAATACAGCTGGAAATTACTAAGGCTGTAAATGAAATCACTTACTATTGCCATAGGTAATATACAACTGGGTAACACTTTACTTGAGGGGGACACAAATGATGTAGTTGTACACTTTTACTTAATGTATTAATTACCCAGAAACTAAGAATTAGTTATATATTGATCCCATGTTTGTTCATCAGTCATAATAATTAATGTATTTCCTGCAGTTCCTATTGTTATTCATAATTTGTACTTGAGTAGTAACTGAGTTACTGTGTTACTCGTGTCCCCTCAAGTAAAGTGACACATCTGTCTAAAGGTGACCTGAACTATCTTACATGACATGAGCAAGAGCCACTACGGTCACAACCATGCAATGCTCCCAAAAAGTATATGTTTATAAGAGCATTAGGCCTGTTTCTTAAAGCTTGTTGGCTTGCCCTGGTTTGCTCAGCTTTAATAGGAAAATTACACAGGAAATCACCTTCGACCTTTTCGGAGATCTGTCCTATTTTTACTGACCGGTAGAAATTCTGCTGCCACCTCAAAATTTTGCTTTGGTGTTACAAAAGCCACATACTAAATGGTTTCAGTTAATGAAAATACATCAAGTGCAGGTGCTTTTTTTGGTAACTGTCAAGGTTGAAAGTGCATTGAGCAGAAGGTATAAGCTGTGTGTGTTAACAAGTGGTTCATTTCAAGTTTTTAATGTATCTACTATTGGCCAGATGCGCAGAAGGCAAACTGCCCTTTCATGTCATAGATCAACGTGTAACTTTGGAAGGACCAGACTTTTAAGGGTTAAAAAATGTTTGCAGACCATGCATATGTAGAATGTAAGTTTATAATGATTATTTTTGTACATGGAACATGTGCATGGACAATTTTATGCATTCAGTGGAGATGCAAGTCAGGATGTTGGGAGATATTGTTAGGCCTGATAGTTGCAGGCACACATGCGGTCATACACAGCTACACACAATCCACATGTTCATTTCAGTGTAAGCGTGTTGCAAAAGATGCAGACACATTCTGCTGCAGTCTTGCTCAGTGTCACTCTCATAGGCACAGGCATTGGGGCACAGAGACACGGATTAAACAGTAACTTAAATGCAGCATGTTTTGTCGTTCTCTGATATCTCTATTTGAATAAGGAGTTTGCATTTCCTGTTAGTTCGATAGCAGCTCATCAACAGAGGTACAAGCCTTGACTTCTGGCGCACGCACAATGCTGTTGCAATGTAATGTTGCTGTGTAGAGTTGACTCACGAATGTTTTACCAAGTGTGCATGCATAAAAAAATAAAAATAACTACTAACAATATTTAAAGGGACAGAAGCCCAACCCAGAAGTGAAACAGCCTACCCTATTTCAGTCTGTCCACCAGCCTTCCGAGAGATTGTCACCAGCTCCCTTCCATATCTCTCCTCTGCCTGCGCCCTGCGATGGTGGGACAGGAATGCACAGTTGACAGTTTTCCATATTTCAAAACATGCAGGAAGCAGGTGGTATAGCGGCAAGACTTCAGGTATTCAGTGAACTATCAGATCAGAGAAAAAGAGCCGTATACATGGAGAAATGTAGTGATTCAGTGTAGCAGGAGGCAAATGGAGCTCAGTTAGGGCCCCTTGACTTAGGTGGAGTAAGTGATGTGGCCTTGTGGGTTAGAGCTCTCCGCCTGTGTCCAGATGATTGCTGGTTCAAATCCCATACTGTTAGAGCCCTGAGCAAAGTCCTTAACCCTAAAACACAGCACCAGGGGCCACTGGAAAAATGGCTGACCATGATCTGTAACCCTAAGCTTTACTCTCACCTGGATGTGAATGTGAAGAATTCCTGCGTACTTGTACACTGGAGAATAAGTATCACCATCAGTGAACAAATGACTGGCAGTAAGAACAAAGGTGAAGTGCAGGGGCCGCCTCAGTCTGCCAGGGCCGCTCTGACACCCCTGCTTGTGCATCCAATCGGATCTTAATGTCCAGTGGAGGTGGCGTGTACCATGGGCCAGCCCTGCGACGCCCTAAGCCTGCTGGTATGTATCCTACCCTGATAATCCTGAACCACGTTATGATTACTGTTAACTTAGCCAGTTACTTATGAACCAGGTGAGCAAATGGATTGTTCCAGGCTAACACAGTCATCATCTATTGAATAAGTGGAGATTGAAGACGGATGGATGGATGGAGCCAGTTTATCTTACTTTGATCAACAGATACTATACTGGCACAAGGTTGGAGATACTGAGGACCATGGTTAGAGATTCCTATGGTGTTAAACCATTAAATAACCAGTACACTGTACTCTTGAGAATAACTGAAAGGATGTGGAAATCACAGGAACTTACCTCATCTTCAGAAGTTCCTCCATGTCTTTACACATTCTCCTGCCATCACACATCCGTTGGATGAGAACCTCATACCCAGAATTACTGGTGAAATCCTCTCCCTAAAAACGGCATGAGTAACCATAGTTAAACTATTTCTTGAACTTTATTGCAAGAATTAATTTTGATTAAATATTAATTTCTCCTGGGGCTTTCATTGATCCAGGTACCTTTGTGACAATAATAATATGAGCGTACATGCATTCTTTCATTTACATCCCACCATCTGCCTTTATTTACATGTGTTTAGTATTTACCCTTGAGTCTTAATAGGTTTCCATGGATAACAATCTATTAAGCTGTTAATTCTAACACTGATCTCCTGCTTGTACCAGCTGGCAGGACCTGGGTGAGGCTGCCACACCCAGATGTGCAATGAGGAGGCAGATCTGTAACTCCTGCCACTACAGAAGACAGGCTTCTCAGCTCCTTTAAGTGCCAGTCCATTACTAATAGCCTCAAGAAATCGAGAGTAACAAGAAATAAATCCATTCATCCATCCATCCAGGACAGAGTTGTAAGCTTTACCGAAAAACACAGATGTATAGCACACTGATAAGCATATTGCAGTACCTCCAGCACAGATAAAATAGGTATCATTGTTAATTTCTAGACTGCAGAATTATCTCACAAGCCGTATTCGCAAACACCCCAGCTTCACACCAGTTCCATATTAAAGTTTTCTAAGCTGTTATATTTTGACTAAATCATTATAATAATAATTTTTAACTGACGTATTTTGCCTGTCTGCTTGTTTAACAGAAGTAGGGTACGTGTTTTGCTAACCCAGTTTCCCCGCAGTTATTCGCTGATGGTTTACCCTGACTGTTCTACAAACAACCAAAAGTGAGACAAATAAGCATTTATACAAATATGAATATTTCATTCAGAGATATTTCCGAACTACAGTATATGTTACTATATCCCACACATTTCTGACGCTGTCAACTCGCTGCCAGCTGAAATTCTGCATGCAAATATATCCTCTTCGCCTTTTCTGCACAGCATAATCTTCTATAGACCCAGGAAGAGGTGGCTATGTGTATTATTAAAATATCTGAACTAGTACTAATAAATAAATAGTTAGATCTAACAGGATTCAAGCGCGCAGCACCGAGGATTTCAAAAAAAGGAAATCGAGCATCTTACCCAAAATGCATCTTTAAAGCGTAACTCTTCCATTCTTCCAGTTCTGCCGCAAAACGTAAGTTAGTTAGATATTGTAAATTATGTAAGTAGTCCAGCGGAAGATCCGGTGAGCAGTAAAAAAAGTTTTTTCAAAAAAATATATATACATATATAAAAAATAAATAGATCTAAAAGCGACTTTTTACGACGTTACTTGCCACATGTAGCGTTCACCCAAATCAGGAAGATATGTGAAATGATGTCACTGTGTATAGGCAGCCCCTGTACTTACTGGCAACTCGATTTGAATACCAGTTGTACTCAGATTTTGAGATAAGATTGTTTGGGGGCAACAATGCACTATAGTCATGTTATGTTTGGCACATATAAACATTATACAGAATAGCCCACACATCTATGCAGTGCTAAATACTAACTCAATTATTACTTGCCAGATAAATGGGGTTGAACAATGAAACAAACATCGGAGAAAAGTACTTGAGGTTTCACGCCTATATATGCGTGGGCTGATGGCAAATCTTCACTGATTGCACATTGCATCCATAAAAGCAGAGTCTGAAGGTTGAATTAGCAGAGCAATAGCACAGCTGTACGTATAATATTGCAATCCACACAACGTAATGGGAGACATATCAGAGTTCTAAAGAGGACAAATTGTTGACATGCGTCTCGCTGGCGAATGCGACCACAGCAGCAAGTCTTTGTGGTGTATCGAGAGACACGGTGTCCAGGGTAATGTTGGCATACTACCACAAAGGACAGACCACATCCAACAGGAGTAACTGCGAGAGGAAGCTGTATGAAAGGGACGTCTGGGCACTAAGATGTACCTAAAAAACATAAAGCCACAGCTGCCCAACTCACTGCAGAATGTGCACCTCACCTGTTCATCAGGAAACAAAACTGTTCATCAGGAGCTCCACAGGCTCTATGCTATAGCCAATCCTTTGGTCACTCTTGCCATTGCCAAACGTCAGTTTCAATGGTGCCAGCAGTGCCTATCTTGGGCTGTGGACAATGTGAAACATGTTCTATTGTTCTCCACCCTCACTGTCTTTCCCACATCCGGGAGAGTTAGTGTGGAGACGCCCAAAGTGGCTTACCAATCCTAATAATTATAGTCTAAAACCAGGTGTTTCAATTTCATTGCCAAACCCCAGTAGTTCAATTCTGGTTACGGGCAAAAGGAATTTATCAGACCATCGTTTTTCTATTTCTTCAGTTATTCACTACATTTTATAACAAACCACACTTAAATTTATCACCCATAATTAAAATTTCATTTAGTGATTTGCAATTCGCTGTGAACTGCTTCCAACTACATCACCCAGTGAATGTTGGACGTCAGATTACTTTAAACGGTTTTCACACCAAGGTTTCATGTGAAACTAAGAACCATAAAAGGAAATAAGGGTTAGAAGAGATGACATTTTAATGTAATTATCACCTGCACCAACCATCATTATAAATACAGACAGAACATGAAGATATGCACGTATTACACACTATAAAACACTAAAATATGTAGATATCTTGTGGTGATGTCAGAGGCTGGGTTTTGCACGTTTCAGTATGCCAGACATCATTGAAATTGGTCTTAACATCACTTGTGGGGAGGGCGGGGGGGAGATCTAACTTTAAATACAGTTCATTTGATCCATGGCAGTAACACAGATACAACCCTGTATAAAAAAAATTACCCATGATTCCCGGGGATCTCAGCCATGCTTTTTTCATCATTTAGTGTATTTAATGTTTAATAGTTTAACGCTAAGGGCTTTTATGGTATGACAACAATCAAAAAAGGCCACTAGACAATTTTTTGCTTCTTTTGGGAATGAAATTTCCATGCTATAGCTCGTCGTGTGCCATATGAAGCTGTCTGCCGTAGTCAGTGACTTCACTGTTCATGAAGGTCTGCTGATTATCCAGGATCTCCGTCTGGGACAGCATCTCATCACCATTCTGATCCATCTCCTTGATCAGATGCACAGCCTGTTTAAAAGGTTAAGGCAAGTAATGGTACCTCAGGTCATTCACGAATACTGAATCACTGCCAACCTGTACTTCCAGTGGTACAGCCACAGCCTCACAAGTGCAGAGACGTAGTCGACGTACTATAATCTAGCACAGATGTGTCAGACTCCAGTCCTGTGGGGCTGGAGCCCTGTGTAGCTTAGTTATTTTTCTGCTCCACCACAAATGATTGAGCTCAAGAGCTGTGTGGTAATTAGTACAAGGAGTTGTAAGTAATTGAACCAGGTGTGTTAAATGAAGGGAAACCCAAAAATGTGTAGAGCTCTGGCCCTCCAGTACTGGAGTGTGACATCCCTGATCTAGCATAAGCAATTGACATCGTTGAAAGCACTTTGGCATTCCCTCATTTGACCTTGTGTGGAGTTCCATCGCATGACCTCTTGTGGAAGTGCCAAAGCAGGGCTCACCTCTTCTCTGGCGGAAACGTAGCTGTTGGGTGCCACCCACCGTAGCTGCTCTTCGCGGTTTAGCTGACCGTCCTTGTCCTGGTCATACAGCTCCTTAAACCGAACAGTTTCATCAACCTCCCACTGTGAGGGTTTGTCGTCAGCTTTTATTGGATGCAAAGACATAATCGGTTTACTTTTTCAGGCAGGAAAACCGCACTGATGATGAGCATTGGCAGTGCTTGACAGGAGAGTGACTGTTCACTTGCCATTCGTTCGGATATCTCCGAGGAATTCCTCTAGACTGATTAATCCATTTCTATCCTTGTCATATTCATGCAGTACGTCCTCAATGGTATAATCCTAAAATTAGAAGGATTCCTGAATGAGATTCAAAAAATATACAATAGTTTATACAATAGTTACCATGGCATAATGTAATATTCTCTTGTAGAAGTATTAAAAGCATCCATTACCAATTAGAACGCACTGTTATATATGGACAGGAGTAACATTACTTCTCCCCATAAGCAACTCATAAGAGTGCAAGAAGAGTCCAACCACATGGTGTTATATGACTTTAAGGTTAATGAATGTGTCTTTCACAGTACTCTGATCTTCTTTGCTCGGTACGATATTCCAAATAATGCATTCATCACAGAAACATTTGGAAATACAGTGATTGACACGGTTTAGTACCAAAAGCAAGTATGTGACAGTTTGATGGCCATCATAACCGAGAGACCAGCAGGACTCACTGCCATGTGGTCCACTTCAGATGGGTGGGTGAATGCCAGGAACTCAGTGAGGTTCAGCCCTGGTATGCCATCAGAATCAGCATGGTCAAAGCGCTTCTTCTCTTTTAAATGAAGCTGGAAACATTAAATGAAGCTGGGGTGTTTAAAAGTCAACAGTACTGTTTGTGTATATACTTAGTTTGTTTTACGACTTCTTATAATCGTACAAATCTCAGAGACTCCTCTTCAGGGTCTTCTGGAATTTTCCTTTCGTCAAAATCAATGGGATTATCATGCACAAATCTGTTGTATACATCCCATGAGATGAGACCATCTCCATTGGTGTCAAACTCTGGGAACCTTTCCTCTGCATCTTCCAAAGCATATTGCCTGTACACCTTCTGTATCCACAGTGTGACCTCATCTACTGAGCAAAAAATAAGACATCTACGTTAAATCTCTGACACACTACGTTTTGGTTTTTTCATTTCAAACTGAAAAAAAGTCTGACACAAATCTATGTTCAGCAAACTACTTCTATTTAAAATTTTCAGTCATGACCTGCAGACAAACGCATATCTGAATTTGTGTCGATCTTCTTCACAATTTCTACCAGCTTCTTTCTCTGTTCAGCTGGGCTAAGCTTTGTCACCTCTTCTTTTTTCTGAACACCAATGATAAACAAAAATAAACTTTTAAATATACATATAGTTTCTAAATAAATGCTTAAAAATTCAACAGACAAGCAACATGCATAATAACCAAACTATAACCACTGGCAAAAAATATGGAATCACTACTCTTGGAGGATGTTCAGTTAGTTGTTTTGCTTTGGAGTCCAAAAAACAAATCACAGATATGACACAAAACTATTTTACCTTACAGCCGAACATTCTGGCTTTGTAAAACATACCTCCAAAAAATAAAATGACATTGCTGCAATTAACGGCACCATCTTTTTTTCAGATCAAGTAGAGGAAAGAATTATGGAATCAAGAACAAAGAAGAACAGAATTAGTGCTAGTACTTTGTTGCACCTCTTCTAGCTTTTATGACAGCTTGAATTCTTTGAGGCATGGACTTCACTAATGAAAAACAATATTCTACATCAATCAGGTACCAAAATTCCCATATAGCAGCTGAGAGATCAGCTTTGCAGGATAGAACCTTGTCCTGTGCCATTTTTTTTCAATTTCCACCATAAATTTTCAATTGGATTGAGATCCGGACTGTTTGCTGGCCATGTCATTGAGTTGATATGCCTTTCTTGAAGAAAAGTTTTAACACTCTTTGCTCGGTGGCAAGATGCATTATCATCCTGAAAAATGACTTCATCATCACCCAACCTACTTTCGATTGATAGAATGAGAAAATTGTCTAAAATTTCAATGTACACCTGTGCATTTACTGTAGAGGTAATGACTGCCATCTGTCCTGGTCCTTTACCTGACATGCAACCCCATATCATGAGTGACTGAGGAAATTTGCTTGTTTTCAGTCATCTTTAATTGTTTCATTGAGATGGCACCAAACAAACATTCCAGCATCACCTCTTTGGCCAATGCAGATTTGGAATTCATCACTGAATACCACTTTCATCCAATCATCCACAGTCCATGACTGCTTCTCTTTAGCCCACTGTAACCTTGTTTTCTTCTGTTTAGGTGTGAATGATGGTTTACGTTTGGCTTTCCTGTACCTAAATCCCATTTGCCTCAGCCGATTTCTTACAGTTCAGTCACAAACATTGGCTCCTGTTTCTGCCCATTTGTCTTTCATTTGTTTTGTTGTGCATTTTCTGTTTTCAAGGCATATTGCTTTAAA